CGCCTCCAGATTGCGCAATCGTTTCAACCCCTCTCTCCACTTGGATTGCGCAATCCCTCCTGCATGTTATGTAGTGAGAGCAGAAAATGTCTCTATATGTRGCCAGTAAAATGTTTCTGATTTTTATTATATACACCTGARCTTACACAGTTTAGCTGATGTTTATTCTATAAATATGTATTTGTGTAACGRGTTCTGTGAGCTGAAGCYGCTGAGAAAAGACACGAAGYGAGGCAAATCTTTTTCAGACTCAAGGAACAGCAAAAAAAAATTTCTCTGAGCTCGAGCTGCAGCAGAGGYTAGCTGCAGAATAAGATCAATGATTTACAGGTAGCAAGCCAAGTGCAGTGTTTTTGATAACTGTTTTTGTAAAGTTTCAGTTTATAAAGTTAAAAAAGTAAAGTACAGCAGGGATCCATTTGTTTTCTCTCTTTTGAACCTGACTTTAAGAATGGAGTCCATCTTTCTTTAACATAAGCAGCAGTAGGCTTCACTGTTTGGCYAAGGCTTTAACCAAACCTTAAACTCGTCCCTTTCAAGCCAAGAGTTGTTAAGTTTGCATTTCCTCATGTTAGCAACAGCACGCCGTCTTCTTCTTCTGTTGTTGTTATTGTCGTTGTCGTCTTCTTTTTATTCCTGCCCATGAATCATCATGCAAACTGATTGGCTGTCATTTGTTGCATGTTTGTCACGTAGCTCACGTTTAAATACGGAAGCATTTTATTGAGCACTTGAGGCAGAATTGCGAGGGTGCACGAAATTAAGACCGCTTAAAAAAATTTAAGACTTAAACACAATAATTCAGCAAATTTGAGACTTTCTAGGCCTAAAATCTAGATTTTTCAAAAATTAGACTTCTTAAGACCCCGCAGAAACCCTGGAGCTACTATAGTAATTATTATGTTATGTCATACTGAAATTATTGTAAAACAGTATAACCTTATTTCTTTATTGCATCTTCAGATCGATATTTTAGGCAATAACAAATTGCCTGAAATTAGTTATTTCATTGCCTTTTTGTTGTATTTTTGATGATAAACAGAWATTTGTTTGTCTCTTAGTGAATAAAATGGTGTTTGTTGACTTGGACCAGTTCTGATCCACAGAACATGAAGCAACAACACAAGTGATGTCTGAGTGAATATAAAGTTGCATTTCTCCATGTTGTCTGTGTTTCAGTGTTCCCCGCAGATGTTCAGCAGASTCTGCTGATTAGAGTCCATGCTCCTGAGGGAGGAAGGCCCAATATGGACCAGCAGGACCCACAGACCCTCCACATAAAGGAGGAACAGGAGGAACTCTGGACCAGATTGGAGGGAGAGCAGCTCAGTGTGAAGGAGGAGACTGATGCTACAC